CATATTTACTAGTATTGTAAAAAAAATGATTTGATGCATATAGAACAAGGCACTATGCAATTCCATAGTTTGTCATCCAAACAAGATTTGGTATTGAAACCTCACTGGGATTCCATGGGCCAATACCATGAGCATCCAAACAAGTGAAATCGTATTCACTCCATTACAGTTTCCACACTGATTTGGTATTGAAACCAATTCAATACGGAGTCCTCCAATACAGACATCCAAACGCAGCGTTAGAAAGAACTCGGTTGTGTCCGTACCAAAAAAATAAAATTCCAATAAGCTTTAATGTCCCCGGGCCTTGTATTATTTTCTACTCGACAGTTGCAACATATTGTGCTTAATCCTTTACCCTGTATGCTATCCTGATATTGCTTCACAACAAAACTGTTTTTTATGTTAAATATATTGCGAGCATGAGATAGTCATACATACATACATACATACACTAGTCGAAGGCACGTGCTTTGCACGTGTGCATTCTTAATAAAAAGACGATACAAGCAAAAAGTCTTATGTATAAATGAAACACTTTTTATATGGAGTTTTAGCTTCGCAATCGCTTGCCAATTTACAATGTTCATGAACAATTTGATTTTCCTATATTTCCCAAACATTTAAAAACTTGCAGTTTCCCGCAAAAAAAAAGACAAACTTGCAGTTAATATTCACGAAATGGATTCTACGTACATCATGGGATTAAATTTTGTCCAGAAAATAATAATCTCCATGCATTCTACGTACATTACTTGGACGTACATGGATGTAATGCATTCTACCACGCATATCCAATATTTTTTGCGAGCAGAAAAAAGGATATGTATCAGTCCATATCAATGCATGTCGTAAAAATCATGCAAAAACGTGAGAATAGCCTGTTCCGCTCGACTTCTATTTAAAAAAAAAACTTTTTTGTTTTTGATTTTAGGGGAGACCGCTCGAACTTCTGCGTCCTGCCTTACCATCCTGTATGGAGCCCCACTCAGAAACGCGAACCAGGTGAGCTCCCTGCCGATTCTCCAAAAAAAACGCGAACCAGGAACGTGAGAATTGTTTCGATGCTGAAAACTCTGAAGTGAACACTATGAAGTTTGATATGCACTTGACGCTGGATCATTGCACTTCCCCCGTTGAGTTCAAATATGATTCTGCTAACTCTAATGCATTGCCAGCATGTAGAAGTTACAACATTTATGCTGTTGGAATTCAGAAGTTCAGAGTTTCAGTTTCATTTTAGCTTTTAAGGATCAGACTTTGTCTGTTTCGGTTTCTGAATAAAGTTACAAATGAATGTCTTGACAATGCCGTTAATCGCTTGTTAAGATTTCATACCCTGTTTTCCGTTTGACTTGTGATAGAATCAACGCCAATCTTCGCGTTCGTTCAGATGGGACACCTCTGAACAGAATTTGTGATCTCTGTTTGTTATCAGTTTGGGTGATTTAAACAGTTTTGATTTCAGCTGTACGTACCAGATATTGACTCAACTTCTTCTGATATTTTGGCCAACGAATTAAGCTTGTTATCTAAGAAAACTTGCTGGCCAAGAGATAAAATTTTCAAGTTGAGAAGGAGACTATATAAGGCCACGTACGGCAGATGTTTTGGGTAGATCAATCTTGAGTTTCTCCACATACATCTGAACTTTGGCATAGAAAGAGCTATGTTCGTGAGAACCTGCTGGTTCGTCTCCTCTTGAGTGTACAATAGGAGATAGGAGATTATTGTATCTTGGAGGAGAGCCGCTGTACAACTCGTGCACCGTGGCGAGGGCGTAAATCTCCTTGAAAGCTGCTGCACCACGATCTGCTGCGACCACCTCTTCTTCAACAACAGCTGCCTGCGTCGTCGTCCCCAACATATGCCGGGGGTTATCGCCTGTGTAATTTCTCAAAATTGGTAGGCAATCCGCTGGTTTTGTTCATGGTCTTGCTGCCAAGGCGCATCAGATTGGAATTAGTAATCTATTTATGGTATGAGTAAAGCAAAATGGTCTGTGCTCCCTTCCGTTGACAGGATGTCTATGTTGTACGTTAAAACTGAAAAATGTCAGTATATTGTATATACATTTGAAGCCCAATGGCTCTGTATCATAAAGAATGATATTTGCTCACTTCTGTTGCTGGATTTCTGCTATATGCAATAACTGAAAAAGGAGTAGTACATGGTTTAAGTATTGTATATGCTAGAATAGTACCCCTGCAAATATAACTTTTGGTCTACAACTTTCACAAGGACAAACTAATGACTGAAGCCCTATATAACATTATTTTCCTGGGTACTATTTACATCAATACAACCATATTAGAAACATCACACTGCAGTACACAGCATGCAGATGAATTATACCAAAACATCCTTGTAGACAATATTTTTTGTGCTTTTCCCTGATGGGTCAATATCCTTATTTGGCTTTGCAGAACAGAATGAACATATGCTGCATTGCCTTTCTTAGTGTACTGTTTGGACATAAACACAAACACCTTGCGTGCAAGAAAACTAGAAAAATCAGCAAGCTACAATCAGACCAGTGGATCTGTATTTCATATCATCCTCAGCAAGAAGAATCACTTGCACAACATTCTCATGCAACAAAATCTCAAAGGAACAGAAGAATCACCAACCTCACCTGTGGTCAACGGCACTATGGTCAGCTGACCGTAGATGGATGTCCAGCTCCTATGAGCCTTTAATCACCAGGCGGAAACAAATTTCGAAGCAAGCCAGAGCCTGCAAGGAGACGGGGCTGGAGATGCAATCTGGACGTGGAGGTCATCCGGAGGTGCTGCCGTACTGGGTGTGTGGACCGGGGATGGACCAATGGAGCTGCTGGTGTGTGAGTGTGAGCGTGTGACCCACGGGCTAGAGAAATTGGATACGGAGCATCCAGATTCCAGGGGAAAGACCAGCGTGAGATGAAAAATGGGAGGTTGGCAGGGAATCGATTTGCTAGAGCCTGGAGGGTGGAGGGGCTATCGTGGGGGCCGTGGAGTTCTCCAGAAGGGGCGACTTGTTTTCAGGTTTGGCGGGACTGCGTGAGGGGCGAATCCGGGTAACACGGGCCGTTCGATTTAATAAGTTGACGGCCATAGATGATTCGATTCTGGAAGTGGCGGGTAAAATATGAGAGGAGAAGGCAGATTCAAATATTCAAAAAATCGTGTACTATAGTAGTAGAGATAGAGATACATACGGAACCGAGGAACGCTGAATATATGTTACAATCAGTGTGGCTCAGCGGAAGACTGAAGATTTTGTTTGACGCTGAAGATGCAGGGACGCTCTCCTGCTTCTCGTGGATGAAGGTTCGGACACCCATGCATACAGATTTTTATTTTTTTTATCCTCGGCGGAGGATGCTGCCGCGGCGGCTCATGTGAAGTTGGCCTCAAATTTCGAGAGGAGCAGAAATCAAGGCTTCCTCCATACCCCCGGAGTCATCATCAAGCTCTGCTTGAGAAGGCAACGTGTAGACTGTTACGGCCCGTAATTACTGCTGTTGCTTCTGAAACTGAACCTGAAGCAGGAGTTGAGTTAACTGATGGTGATCGGTTGACTGAAAGACGAGGACGAGGCCGGCCATGGCTCCGGCCGGTGCGCCTGGGGTCGCAACCACTCGCGCGATCACCAGGCCAGCCAAGTCTCGTCGTTGGACAGACTCGGAACCTGAAGAAGGAACTCGATCTGTCATCTCCCTGTATTTCTGAATCTCACTCGCTCTGCGCCCTGAGGTCAAGCAAGCAAGAAACTTGCACAGCATGTTGCTTCATTGCCCGCGCTGAGCTGAAAACATGACAAGTGTTTTCTCAGGGAAAAAAAAATACCATTGACAAACCTATACATCAACCGACGGGCGATGGCGATGGCGACCCCGTGCGTTGCTTGCTGTCAACGGTGCTGCGCTGTGCATCCGTTGCCACCGCATCGACGCATGTAACATGTAGCGTATACCACAATGCATGTTGCCAGCCTAAACTCATTGACCTCCATTACTCAAATCAAATCAAAGATCAAGCCTCCGATCGAGCACGTACATCAATCACAATCTCAAATCAACAATCCACAAGTTCTGACTTGTTAGCTCCGCTCTGACCGCTCCAGTGTCGTCTCGCAAAAGAAACCGCAAATGATTAAGAAAGGAAGCCGCGAAAATTGGTTCGGTCGGTGTGTGTGTGTGTGTGTGTGTGTGTGTGTGTGTGTGTGGCTTGACACAAATGACACATTGCTTTGAGTTGAGCATGGCACCTCCCAAACTCCGCAACAAGTGGCGACGGGCCCCCTGGAAGTCAAAGCCGGGGCGTACGTAGGTACGTTGCGTGAAGCAGCCAACAGCACAGCACGTTCCTTCAAGAGCGAGCCAGCGTTTTCTGAATCTCACCTTTTTGTACTGCTACTAGCCTACTATACCTTCAACTTCCGTGGATGCATCGGGAGCAGGCAGGTAGGCGTCTCGTGCCTGCCGCTAGACTTGAGAATTTGACCCGGCCTCCAACAACCTGGAGGCTAGCGTCCATGCACGGGAGACTCAAAATAATCCACCATGTACGTGGCTCATACGCAAGCCCCAATTTTTAACCGAATAATTCTCCTCATTTCCCGGCTTCTACTCGAGCTAGTAGTCAGTGTGCATCCAGCTAGAGCTAGCGCGTAGTAGTAGGAGTAGTAGTAAAACTTGGTGCCACGCTTCCGTGAAGGCGGGATCACCGGCACCGGCCCATTCCATCCGATCGCTCGCTCGCTCGCTAGCAGCTGGCTCAGGAGTCCCATGGAAGCAACCGCCCCGCCCTCTTAACGCCACATTGAATCCCAATCAACGCCAGCGTCCGTCCCATCCTCCAGTCCTCCTCGCCATAGCCAATCCCGCAAAGCTTCCTACGCTCGTACGTGCAGAGCCAGTGCGACGTCGACCTCCTTCCACCCGGCTGGGCTAGGCTACCGGCAAGCTAGCTACCTTGCCCTCGGCTCATGACTCCCCAGGCCTGCGCGCGGCGGCCATGAGACGACCCGGCGGCGCCGCCCCCGTCGTCGTCCTCCTCCTCTGGCTCGCCGCGCTCACCTTCGCCTTCCACGGCTGCGGCGGCGGCGGCCTCGTCAGGTTCGGAAGCTCGGTGGTGGCCGTCGAGCGGGATCGTCGTCCGGCCTCTCTTCCCAGGAAGATGCTTCTCGCCGTGGAGAGCCGGAGCCTCGACCCCTCGTCGGCCGCCGGTCCACCACAGCCACAAGATCAACAACGGCACCATCATCATCACCATCGTGGTGGTCGCCACCATCGTCAACGGCACCACCGCCTCCCAAGCAAATGGAACTGGCAGAGAGTCCCACCGTCCGCCGCTCCCGGGGACGGCAACGAGATCGACCCGCGGTACGGCGTGGAGAAGCGGCTCGTCCCGACAGGGCCAAACCCGTTGCATCACTGAGGGCAGCCGGGCGGGCTTCCATGGGCGATTTTTCATGTACCTATCCTCATCAGAAGCTGCAAAAGCTTGCGAGGGAGAGGGAGAAGAAGAACCGAAATTTTACTAGCTGTGGTACATATGAATTATTATTATTATGTTGTTGAGTGTGAAATCTTCCTCTTTTCCGTTTCTAGTTTGTCCATTCTTTGATTTTCTCTGCTACATGATCAAAATCTTGGCATGAATAAGACGAGTGCTGCAGGTGACATTTGCATGTACTGCATGTATAAGATTATTTGCAGTGATCTGTAATTATTTCACTTTGTGCTTTACTGATTGGGAAACCGATGTTCGTTAAGTTTATTGCATTGCTCCCAAGAACTTGACAATAGATTGAAAATTAAATCTCGAATTATGTATTGAACCTTTTTTTTAGGCAAATGTATTGGACCTTATAAACACGAACAGGAGTGAACCTGTTCATGGACAGACTGGCCCAAAGGCCTGGGCCCAAACGCCTAACATCCAGGCCAGGATCGGGCTCCACCTTTCCGCCCAATGGCCCCCGAAGTGAGCAAAATCTGATGTATTGTTAAAAAATAGGTATAATATATTGTATTGTATACCCCCAAAATACTATTTTTTTAAAATGACAACCATGACTAAATATGCACGGACCGAGTAGCAAAACATCTCACGTACCGGCCCGGTTTGGATATAGGTATATATAGGAAGAATCTTAAAACTATTCAACAATCCATTGTCGTCCAGCCCGGTTAGGATACCTGGCTTTCACCCAGGCGACCCGGGTTCAAATCCCGGCAATGGAGCATTTTTTTTCTTAACTTCTTCGGTGTGCTGCGTTTTATTTTGAATATAATACCCAAGGTCGGAAATGGAGCATTTCTTTTTCTTTTCATAAACTTCTGGAGCGTGCTGTGTTTTATTTTGAACGTATACCCGATCCTGGCAATGGAGCCTTTTTTCTTTTATAAACTTCTGCAGTGTGCTGCGTTTTATTCTGAATATATACCAAAAAATTAGCCATTGCTAAGCTTAAAAGAATATGTGGTTTGAACTTGTTGTTTGTACGAGAAAACTTACATGGTTTAAACTTGTTATTTGTGTAAGAAAACTTAGCTGTCATCTTCGAGAAAATTTACTTGTTAATAGTAAGCTTACACGTGCAACGCATGGTAATGCATTAGAAAATTATTTTCTCATTCATCTAGTTATTACGTAGGTCATCTTCAAGGCGGACCCGCAAACCTCCCGCAACCGTTCGGACAGCGCTATCCGGACCGGGGAAGCCATCCTAGCTGGCATGTATCAGTCCGGGAAGCGGTCCGGATGTGTTTTCTCCCGCAAGCCGGAGACAAACGTGGGGGAGGTTTATGAGAGTCCGAACCGATCCCAGCCCGCTTCTAACCGTCTTGGCCCACCAAACACCTCCTTTCACGCACCCGTGTTCCCGCCCGGTGTCAATTGCCCGCATTCATGCCGCTGTAGAGTGCGTCGCTCCACATTGAGCGGACGCGACCTTCCACTAGCGTCGGCATTGAAGCAGCTCGTGGACCGAGGGCGCCGTCTGCGACGCGTCTCCGGTGTCTGCACTTGTTCAATGCCAGAGACACGTGACTGGACAGGACGGAACCTATATCTACCCCCCCCCCCTCCAATGCCCCGTTCGTCCGTATGTCGCCATTAAGCAGGCTCGCTGGCTGAGAAACCCACTCCGGCGTCCCACATTTATGCACCCGGACGCCTGCCCTCAACGGAATCTGCTATTTAAGGATGGCCAAACCCGACTATCTCCACAACACAACACATCCGTCCCACATCCTCCTCCTTTCCTTCACATCCGCCGTGACCACCAGCGTGAAAGCATTGTGGGACAATCTGTCGCCGGAGATGAAGCATGCAGTAGACGCCCTTGCCGCCGCCTAGCATTGCAGTCATGCCAAGCGGATCGAGGATGGCTTGCCGGCCAGCTCACCCGAGGTCTCCGATGATGAGGACGACACCACGATGGAGACGGGCTCCGACAACTCCACCTCGGCTCCCGCGCCTACTGCGCATGCCGGCTTCACCATGGAGCAAGCGCACTTCAACGCCGCCATGGCGGAGGTGCGACTGTTGACGTCGACGCCTTTGTCAGCATTCTAGCAGGCGTAGGAGGAACAACGGTACAACATGTTCCTCTTGGAGCAGCACCGGCTAGCGGAGGGTCAGATCTATGGCGAGTGCTGCTACTTCTTGAGCTGTGTTGGGATTTCCTTGAAGAGAAAATGATGATGCAGTAAAGCAGACATAAGTATTTTCCTTAGTTAAGAACCAAGTTTATCAATCCAGTAGGAGAACCAAGCAAGATCTCATGAACAGCACCCACACACAAAAGAACAAATACTTGCACGCGACGCGATCAAGGGGGTTGTCAATCCCCTCAGCGGTTAATTGCAAGGATCACTAGTAGAAAACAGGGCATACATTCAGGCCAGATAAGCCCATTAGTCCCGGTCCAGTCACGAACCGGGACCCATGGGCCCATTGGTCCCGGTTCGTGAGGCTAGGGGCCCTGCCAGGCCTCGTGGGGGCATTGGTCCCGGTTCGTCTGGCCCCTTTGGTCTCGGTTGGTGGGACGAACCGGGACCAATGGGCCTCGCTCCTGGCCCACCACCATTGGTCCCGGTTGGTGCCTTGAACCGGGACCAAAGGATGGTATTTAGTACCGGTTCAAGCCATGAACCGGGACCAATGAACCGGCCAGGGGAGAGGGCTTTGTGTGTGTAAAACATTAAAAGCAAAAACAATTTTCATAAAATAAATAAAAAAGCAAAAAAAAGAAAATAAATAAGTAGAAACAAAATAAACTTTAATAAAGTAAAATAAATAAACTTTAATAAAATAAATAAAAATAGCAACAATAAGTAGAAATAAAATAAAATAAATAAAGAAAAACAAAGAATTTCATAAAATAAATAAAAAAAGCAAAAAATAAAAGAAAATAAATAGGTAGAAACAAAATAAACTTTAATAAATAAGTAAAAACAAAATAAATAAGTATTATTGAAACTAAAATTATATAAAATTTATGCAACTAAAATTATCAAAGTATTTTCTGTTCAAAACATTAAAAGAAAAAAGAATTTTCATAAAGAATTTTTTGTTAGAAACTTTAATAGCAAAAAGAATTATCATAAAGAATTTTTTGTTAGAAACTAAAATAACAGAATATGTTTTTGAATATAATGATAAAAAAAGTAATATTAAATAGGAGGAAAATGAATCACTCAAAAATCTATTTTTATAGTAAAGCTATTCAAAAACTAGTGATTCACACAAATTTCCAAAAATTCAAATCTAAACTATTCAAGTTGAAAAACAAATGACACTAACAGAAATTTTATAATTTTTATTACCTAAAAGCAATAAGAATCACTGAAAAACTAGTAAGTATTTTGTTGTAAGTAGAAACAAAATAAAATAAATAAAGCAAAAAAAAAGAAAACAAAAAATAAAAAAGTGCCACCTACTGGGCCACCACGACCTGAATATGAATAGAAACCCAACCATGGGCCCGGATTCAGGCCCGCAGAAGGCCCAGTAGGCCCACAGGCAGCATACTGTGTAATTAGGCCCAGTGAGCCTGTATTTGAGAGGAGCTCGAGAGGCAGACGCAGTGGGGCTTATAAACCCTCCGAGCTCCTCACAACTAGCGAGGTGGGTGGCACCAACCGGGACTAAATGGGGGCATTGGTCCCGGTTGGTGCCACGAACCGGGACCAAAGCTTAGTGTATATAAGTAGGACTTGTCAAAATTTTGAGAGTTCATCTCGCAGTTACCCCCGACGATGCCAACCTCCACGACGCCGCCAGGCTGCCCCGATGCCGTCCGCCGTCGCTGTCGCCGTCGCCAACGCCCATCATCGCCGCTGTCTGCCCCCGTCACCGTCGCCGTGCCGCCCCTACACCGAGGCTGTCGCCCTGCCTCGTCGTCGCCATCCCCGCGCCCTGCACCGACACCGTCGCACGCGCCTGTCATCGCCGCCATCGTCGCCTGCGTCCTCGCTGTGAGTTCCGCCGGCCCCGATCCCCTCCTCTCCTGATTTTTTTTGTATGATTTTTTTGTTGTATGTATTGATGTATGATTTTTTTTGTTCATAGATTTTTTTGTTCATAAAAGTTATGCACTTTTGTATAGAAACGAAAACGTAGAGTGAAAACGAAAGAAAACATAAAAGTTGTGCACTTTTGTTAAAGTGAGGGGCGATGTCGGATATGACATGAGGGGGCCGGGGACGTCGGACATGTGATGAGGGGGTGAGCATCATTGTCGTCTACCCCCTCCCTGATAACATCGACATGAGGGGGGACATCGGACATGACATGAGGGGGGACGTCAGACATGACATGAGGGGGGACATCGGAAATGACATGAGGGGGGACGTCGAAAAAATGTATGCAAACGATTTTGACAAGTCTTATATAATCTACGCATTGGTTCCGGTTCATGGAAAAATAGAAGAGGAAGAAGGAGAAGAAGAAGGAGAAGAAGAGGAGGAAAAATTAAGAAGAGGAAGAAGAAGAAAAAAAAGGAGAATAAGAAGGAATAGAGGAGAAGAAGAAAAATAGAATTTTTTTTCTTCTTCTCCTCTATTCCTTCTTCTTCTCCTCTTTTTTTGTTCTATTTTTTCTTCTTCTTCTTCCTCTCTCTTTTTTTCTCCTCTTTTCTTCTTCTTCTTCTTCTTTTTATCGGGAACGACGGTGTCGAGGAACACCGAGGGGTCGAGGGTCGGGAACTAGGCTAGAGGGTCGCGAGGGTCATAGAGGGGTCGAGGCCGGTCGAGGGTCAAGGGTTTGAGGGTTGAGGGTTCGAGGTTCGAGGGTTCAAGGGTCGTCGAGGGTTCTAGGGTTCGAGGGTTCTAGGGTCGTCGAGGG